ACCGAGCCGACATCTTCAGCTCTTTCCGTGATCGGTGATCCGCCGTGTCCGAGGTACACAACGCACCGTCGATCGCCACGTGCCCCCTGAGCCGCGCATGCGCAGTGAGAATGGGAGGACGCCATATATATGTCCTCCCAGAACGAGAGAACCACCTTGCGCCCGTAATATTACTATATGGCGGACGGGAGGTGGTTAAACTCCATTAAAGATTTATTTTTTTCTCCACAAGTTTCTGGAAAATGACAAAAACTTTTTTTTTTTTTTTTACACAAAGTTGTCACTTAAATGATATATTGCTCACACAAGCCATGGGTATATGTGGAATTACATATACAAAATACATTCTGCTACTTCTCCCGAGTATGGGGGTACCACATGTGAGAGACTTTAGCAGTCTAGCCAAGTACAGGACCCCAAAAGCCAATATGCTCCTTCAGGCGTTTAAAGGGCTTTATTTACTCATTACACTTCCTGACTACCTATCACAATTTAGGAGGCCCTGAAATGCCAGGATAGCACCAATCCCCCCCCCCCCCCCTAATGATCCCTTTTTGGAAAGTAGACACCCTAAGAAATTTGATAAGAAGCATGGTTAGTATTTTGCAGATCTCATTTGTTGCCACAAGTTTTTGGAAATGAAGAAGAAAACAAAAAACACATTTTTTTGTTTTTTTTATATTTCAAAACCTTGTGAGAAAAAATTAGATCGGCAAAATACTCACCATGCCTCTTTTTAAATTCCTCGGGGTGTCTACTTTCCAAAAAGGGTTTATTTGGGGGGGGGGGGGGGGGGGTTGGTGCTATCCTGGCATTTCAGGGCCTCCAAAACTGTGATAGGTATTGAGGAAGTGAAATGAGGAAGTTACGCACTGTCAAGCTTTCAAAGTGGTCATTGGATTTCAGGCTCCTGTATGTGGCTAGGCTCCCAAAAAGTCTCACACATGTGGTATCCCCATACTCGGTAGAAGTAACAGAATGTATTTTGGGGTGTAATTCCACATATACCCATGGCTTGTGTGAGCAATATATCATTTAAGTGACTAGTGACTGGTATTTTAGCACCTCAAGAAATGTGATGGGCAGTCAGAAAGTAAAAGCTGTGTAAATTCCATTCTCTATACCATAGTTTGTAGATACTATAACTTTCACACATAGCAATCAATATTCACTTACTGGGATTTTTTTTTATCAAAAACATGTAGCAGAAAAATAGCACAAAAAAATTAAAAGCGCACAGGTGATCAAATACCACTGAAAGAAAGCTCTGTTTGTGTGGAAAAAAAGGAAGAAAATTTTGTTTGGGTACAGCTATTTTCTTTTTGTAGTAGTTAATAATTTAAAAGAAAAACCAAAAAATTAAAAAAACAAAAAAAATTATACCATTATTGGTATGAGGGGGCAGGGGGGGGGGGGGGGGGGTAACACTAGGGGGCAGGGGGGGAATAACACTAAGGGGAAGGGGGGGGGAATAACACTAAGGGGGATGGGGGGAATAATGCTAAGGGGGCGGGGGGGGGAAAAATGCTAAGGGGCAGGGGGGGAATAATGCTAAGGGGGCGGGGGGGGGGGGGATGACGCTTTTTTTTATTGTTATTATATTTATTGTTATTATTATTTAATAATATTTATATATTTTAAGATATGTTCTGCTCATAGTAGTTAATAATTTAAAAACAAATACAAAAAAATATTGTTATTGTATATTATATATTATTAGGATGATATATTTTTAAGATGTGTTCTGGCTTGAAGTAGTTATAATATTTTATGCTTAAAAAAAAAAAAAAAAAAAAAAAAAAATATATATATATATATATATATTTCTGTCATTCAACTGCAGCACCGACCTGTTTATTCTGACAGCAACAGGAACTTGCTCCCAGAATATACATTAGTAAGTGTGGGCAGTGCTGTTGGATGAGATTTTTCATCCGCAGTAGAGACCATACGGTATATGCCGAAGCATGGGGGCCTGGGGTGGCCAGTGGGTGGATGGCCCCCATGCTTCGGGATATATTTAAAAAAAAAATTGTTGGCCGAGATTTCTTCATCCACATCGACCGATGTGAATAGAGGAATCTGTTAGTTTATTTTTTTCTTCGTTCAGCCCATGGGCTGAATGACAATAAAAGAACATTTCATGTGTGCCCACCATTAAAAGTGGGTGGATGCAAGGAGGTATATTCTAGTAGTAGGCATACCACACACTTTTTCTGGCAGAGATTTCTTCTCTTTTTTTCATTCAGTACACAGGCTGCATAAAAGAAAAAAAGAACATAGCATATATACCCAACAAGCGACGTACTGGTACATCACATACCCAACAAGGACCAGTGATACTGGTACATCACAAAACTTTGAGTGGTTATATCAGGATGATGCCTGATCGGTTTTCATGTAAAAGCAATCCTAGTGGCTAATTAGCTGCAGGATTGCTTTTACATGCAGCGGGATAAGATCCCCCCCCCCCCCCGCTGCCTTCCACGGCCTTCTCAGGCTTTCCCATGCCATTGGGGGAACCTGAGAATGCAGCCAGTGTTTCTGCCAGCTAACCATAGATTTGATAACCGGCATTTCCCTGTTTACATATGATCAGCTGTGATTGGACACAGCTTATCACATGACCGAGCCGACATCTTCAGCTCTTTCCGTGATCGGTGATCCGCTGTGTCCGAGGTACACAACGCACCGTCGATCGCCACGTGCCCCCTGAGCCGCGCATGCGCAGTGAGAATGGGAGGACGCCATATAATGTCCTCCCAGAACGAGAGAACCTTGCGCCCGTAATATTACTTACTATATGGGGACGGGGGAGGTGGTTAAACTCCATTAAAGATTTATTTTTTTCTCCACAAGTTTCTGGGAAAATGACAAAAACTTTTTTTTTTTTTTTTTTACACAAAAGTTGTCACTTAAATGATATATTGCTCACACAAGCCATGGGTATATGTGGAATTACATATACAAAATACATTCTGCTACGTCTCCCGAGTATGGGGGTACCACATGTGAGAGACTTTAGCAGTCTAGCCAAGTACAGGACCCCAAAAATTCCAATATGCTCCTTCAGGCGTTTAAAGGGCTTTATTTACTCATTACACTTCCTGACTACCTATCACAATTTAGGAGGCCCTGAAATGCCAGGATAGCACCAATCCCCCCCCCCCCCAATGATCCGTTTTTGGAAAGTAGACACCCTAAGAAATTTGATAAGAAGCATGGTTAGTATTTTGCAGATCTCATTTGTTGCCACAAGTTTTTGGAAAATGAAGAAAGAAAACAAAAAAACATTTTTTTGTGTTTTTTATATTTCAAAACCTGTAAAAAAAATTAGATCGGCAAAATACTCACCATGCCTCTTTTTAAATTCCTTGGGGTGTCTACTTTCCAAAAAGGGGTGTTTTGGGGGGGGGGGGGGGGGGGGGGGTTGGTGCTATCCTGGCAATTCAGGGCCTCCAAAACTGTGATAGGTATTAAGGAAGTATAATGAGGAAGTTACGCACTGTCAAGCTTTCAAAGTAGTCATTGGATTTCAGGCTCCTGTATGTGGCTAGGCTCCCAAAAAGTCTCACACATGTGGTATCCCCATACTCGGTAGAAGTAGCAGAATGTATTTTGGGGTGTAATTCCACATATACCCATGGCTTGTGTGAGCAATATATCATTTAAGTGACTAGTGACTGGTATTTTAGCCAGTGGAAATGTGATGGGCAGTCAGAAAGTAAAAGCTGTGTAAATTCCATTCTCTATACCATAGTTTTAGATACTATAACTTTCACACATAGCAATCAATATTCACTTACTGGGATTTTTTTTTTACCAAAAACATGAAGCAGAAAAAATAGCACAAAAAAATTAAAAGCGCACAGGTGATCAAATACCACTGAAAGAAGCTCTGTTTGTGTGGAAAAAAAGGAAGAAAATTTTGTTTGGGCAGCTATTTTTCTCTTTTTTTAGTAGTTAATAAGGCTAAAAAAAAAAAAAAGAACATAGCATATAACCCAAAATTATACCAGCGACGTACTGGTACATCACTAGACTTTGAGTGGTGGGGGATGATGCCTGATCGGTTTTCATGTAAAAGCAATCCCTAAGTGGCTAATTAGCTGCAGGATTGCTTTTACATGGGGGAGAAGATGCCCCCCCCCCTCCCCCGCTGCCTTCCAAGGCCTTCTCAGGCTTTCCCGTGCCATCAGGGGAACCTGAGAATGCAGGGGTGTTTTCTGCCAGCTAACCAGAGATTTGACTGGAGACCCGAATGGAGCCAATCATCTCTATAGTCTAAGAAATCAGAACCTTACCAGCATTTGATCACTTCAGTTCCGCAGGATATAAACAGCGCCATTTGTAAATTGGGAAAGTATCTGATCACACCGATCTTGGTAGTTATTGAGACTAGATAATGTAAGAGCAGAGGAGATATCTAGAGTCTGATAGACCCCAGATTTCTCAAAAATGAATATATGACAATGTCCATCGCAGTTATAGGGGATATTTGCATTCCCTGACATAGCATTAAAAGTGATAAAAAAAATGAAAGGGACAGTGTAAAAAAAAATAATTTAAAAAATCAAAATAACTTTAACCACTAGCCTACAACTGCACTTATACCTGTTTTTCTGACAGCAACAGGAACTTGCCAATTTCCAGCTTTCAGCGCTGTCGCACTTTGAATGACAATTGCGCGGTCAAACCCACTGTACCCATATGAAATTTTTATCATTTTTTTGTGACAGAAGCTTTATTTTGGTGGAATTTAATCACCTCTGGGTTTTTTTTATTTTTTCTTAAATAAACCAAAAACCACTGAAAATTTTGAAAAAAAAAAAGTTTTTTCTTAGTTTTTGTTATAAAATTTTGTAAATAAGTGAATTTTTTCTCCTTCACTGATGTGCGCTAAGAGGCGGCACTGATGGGCACTGATACATTGCACTGATGGACACTGATAGGTGGCACTGATGAGGAGGCACTGGTAGGTGGCACTGATGGGCATTCTAGGCATCACTGATGGGCACTGACAGGCAGCACTGATATATGGCACTGATAGGCGGCACTTTTGGCACTGTTAGGCAGGCACTGACTGACACTGAAAAGGCGGCACTGATGTGCATGATAGGTGGCACTGACTGGCAGCGTACTGATAGGTGGCACTGATTGGCATTGATAGGTGGCACTGACTAGTGCACTGATGGGTGACACTGAAAGGCAGCTCAGATGGGCACTGATCTGTGGCATTGATGTGCACTGGTGTGCACTGATATGTGGCATTGATGTAGCACTGATGGGCACTGGCACGAGGCACTGACATAAGGCACTGATGGACACTGACAGGTGGCACTGCTGGGGCTACACTGATCATCAGGGCACACTGATCATCAGTGCTTTGATGATCAGTGTACATGTCCCCTCCGCGGAAAGCAGATAACTGGCTCTCCTCTCCTCACGAGCTGTCAGCGTGACAGCTCGAGAGGAGAGAAATGCCGATAACCGGCATTTCCCTGTACATGTGATCATCTTTGATTGGACACAGCTGATCACATGACTGAGCCGACATCTTTGGCTCTTTCCGTGATCAGTGATCCGCTATATCCGAGGGGACACAACGCACCGTCGATCGCCGCGCTGCGTGCTCCCTGAGCCGCGCATGCGCAGTGAAGAATGGGAGGACGCCATATGACGTCCTCCCAGAACGAGAGAACCACCTTGCGCCCATCATATTACTAAATGGTGGGCGGGAGGTGGTTAAACTCCATTAAAGATTTATTTTTTTCTCCACAAGTTTCTGGAAAATGACAAAAACATTTTTTTTTTTTTTTTACACAAAGTTGTCACTTAAATGATATATTGCTCACACAAGCCATGGGTATATGTGGAATTACATATACAAAATACATTCTGCTACGTCTCCCGAGTATGGGGGTACCACATGTGAGAGACTTTAGCAGTCTAGCCAAGTACAGGACCCCAAAATCCAATATGCTCCTTCAGGCGTTTAAAGGGCTTTATTTACTCATTACACTTCCTGACTACCTATCACAATTTCGGAGGCCCTGAAATGCCAGGATAGCACCAATCCCCCCCCCCAATGATCCTTTTTGGAAAGTAGACACCCTAAGAAATTTGATAAGAAGCATGGTTAGTATTTTGCAGATCTCATTTGTTGCCACAAGTTTTTGGAAAATGAAGAAAGAAAACAAAAACATATTTTTTTTGTTTTTTTTATATTTCAAAACCTTGTGAGAAAAAATTAGATCGGCAAAATACTCACAATGTCTCTTTTTAAATTCCTTGGGGTGTCTACTTTCCAAAAAGGGGTTATTGGGGGGGGGGGGGGGGGGGTTGGTGCTATCCTGGCATTTCAGGACCTCCGAAACTTTGATAGGTATTGAGGAAGTGTAATGAGGAAGTTACGCACCGTCAAGCTTTCAAAGTGGTCATTGGATTTCAGGCTCCTGTATGTGGCTAGGCTCCCAAAAAGTCTCACACATGTGGTATCCCCATACTCGGTAGAAGTAACAGAATGTATTTTGGGGTGTAATTCCACATATACCCATGGCTTGTGTGAGCAATATATCATTTAAGTGACTAGTGACTGGTATTTTAGCGCCTCAAGAAATGTGATGGGCAATCAGAAAGTAAAAGCTGTGTAAATTCCATTCTCTATACCATAGTTTGTAGATACTATAACTTTCACACATAGCAATCAATATTCACTTACTGGGATTTTTTTGTACCAAAAACATGAAGCAGAAAAATAGCACAAAAAAATAAAAAGCGCACAGGTGATCAAATACCACTGAAAGAAAGCTCTATTTGTGTGAAAAAAAGGGAAGGAAATTTGTTTGGGTACAGCTATTTTCTTCTTGTAGTAGTTAATAATGGTATGAGGGGGCAGGTGGTGGGGTAACACTAAAGGGGCAGGGTGGGGGGATAACGCTAAGGGGGCAAGGGGGAATACCACTAAGGGGACGGGGGGGAATAACACCAAGGGGACAGGGGGGAATAACACTAAGGGGGCGGGGGGGGATAATGCTAAGGGGGCAGGGGGGAAATAACGCTAAGGGGGCGGGGGGGATAATGCTAAGGGGGCAGGGGGAGAAGATGCCCCCCCCCCTGCTGCCTTCCACAGCCTTCTCAGGCTTTCCCATGCCCTCAGGGGAACCTGAGAATGCAGCTGGTGTTTCTGCCAGCTAACCATAGATTTGACTGGAGACCGGAATGGAGCCAATCATCTCTATAGTCTAAGAAATCGGAAGCTCACCAGCATTTGATCACTTCCGTTTTGCAGGATATAAACAGCGCCATTTGTAAATTGGGAAAGCATCTGATCACACCGATCTTGGTGAGATTAGATAATGTAAGAGCAGAGGAGATAACTAGAGTCTGATAGACACCAGATTTCTCAAAAATGAATGTATGACAATATCCATTGCAGTTATAGGGGATATTTGCATTCCCTGAGAAAGCATTAAAAGTGATAAAAAAAATGAAAGGGACAGTGTAAAAATAATTAAAAAAATCAAAATAACTTTAAACTCCATTAAAGATTTATTTTTTTTCTCC